CTAAAATGCCTACTGTGTCTAGCTGCTTTGCCTTTTCCTGTTGCAGAGCCCAAGGCTCAGAAAAGACACTTTCCCAGAATATGCTGCTGAACACAGCATGAGTGTAACCTACCTGAGGACTTGGATGGCCACCCTGACCAGAGCTCATCCTCCTCAGAAATGAGCTTATGCCAATACTCCCACCACCCTGGAGACAACTGTGTCCTTGAGAACCTAGGGGCAGTGGGCAAGACAGCCATAAGCAATAGACAGCTGCACTGTGTCCTTATAAATGTTCAGAGATTGTCAGGCTTGCTCCTCTCTCCTCTGCAGTCCTACAACATCTGTTATAAGCAGTAGCAGTCCCTTGCCTCATCCCATTCCTTGTCCCTCTGTTGCTGAGGGCAGCATCCCAGCCTGAAATGCCATCTTTGAGCACATGCCCTAACACCTTTGCTTGCCTCAGTTCTTAGAGGCTGGGCAGGGCACAGTAGCCATCTGTACTTGAGATTGAGAGACAGACTGGACATCTGTGTCCCAAAGACTGCCCTTCTACACTCAGGCAACTGGGTAGATGCTCCACCTCGGCACAACTTCCTAGATAAGGACAAGCCAATCTTATGTTTCAGCATTGTATCTGGGCAGGGCAGTTTGAGGCACAAGGAGATGCAGTATTTCAGATTAGGCAGGTGTTAAAACGTATTGAATGACTCTGTGCAGAAAGGTGTCAGCATCCCCCTTCAGTTTGAGGCTCTTTGGAAACCTCCTGAAACGCTTGTGAATCTGCCTCAGTTCATGGGCAACCCTTGGTAACCATTCCGGCTTGCTACCCTGGGTCTGAAACCCGGCTGGGATGTGGGTGCTGTGGGCAGGGGTGGGAAGGGAAAAGGTGTGGGAAACCAAAGAGAGTGAAGGCCTGATAAATCATGCATATGTTCCCTCCTTATACCATCTACAGAAACATGGCTTGGAGGATTGCTTCAGAGAGCTCAGTGACAACAACCTTCATCATGATGAACCTCCCCATCCCAAACTGATCCAAAATTGCTAAGGCTAGGAGCTGTCTTAAAAGGCTCCATAGGACAAGCCACCCTCTTGAATGATGACATGGACTCTGGAAATGTTGTCTTGCAATGGCAAAACTGTTGTAGTATCTCTCACCAGATGGCCTCAGTTGTGCACCCTCACATTCAACACATTCTGCATCTACTTCTTATTCTCCAGGATCCCCATATCAATGGGATGCTACCAGCCTGAGCTCAACCCCTGTGTCAAGGGCTGCAGAACAACCAGTGCAGAGTAGCTACAGTGAAGACTCCAG